CCATTCTTATTACTGTCTTAAATTTCAAACATCATGATACTAGCTACATGCATAAAGGTATACTTTTCATATTTTTAGTTCCTTCAAAACAATGTTTTCTTAGTAACAAAAGAAACAAAAAACTATTCTTATATCCAAACATGTGATGGGACCTTGCTAGTTAAACACCCCAAGGACTTCCAGGGGTCCCAGAAAGCTTCCCGACTCAGGAGTGTGAGAGGTGGGCCCGTGCCTGCAGCTCGCGATTTACCCACACCGTCTGCTGTGAACTTCTACAGTCCAGTTACCTTGTGAGCGCCGATAATATCCGGGAAGCAGCCGAGGAAACCTTTATATTCATGATTACATTCCATCAGGAAATGGAGGTCTTTCTTTGGCTATAACAAGACACAAGTTGGTTGTTACTGGCAGAGGAATCCAGACAGCCAAGGAAAAGAAACGCCTATCTCAGGACTATATTAGCCAAATCCTCCAGGTACTATATTAAGCTATTGTGTTAAGCATTCAGCTTAGTTTTCCTACAAGAAAATAATCCCCAGAGTCCTATACCCTCTACCATAGGCTGTAAAAAAAATTATAACACATCAAGTAATATTTTGGTGGGTCTGAGGTGGCCCAAAATACAACACCATGAGGAAAAGAATGTAGGACTACTGTTTACATACAAGGAAATAAGATGTTATAGTTTAATGTCTAAATTTTAGCAGAAAAGGTAAAAATACTATGAGAAAGTCTAGTAATCATTGTAAGTGGCAACTTTAACATTTTCTATTTTTCTGAATTACAATTTTTAATAGCTATGTCATGCACAGTTCTAAAAATTAATCTTTTTTACAAGTAGCAGAGAGTAATTAATGACATGAGTGTGTGTCCATAGGCACATGTGTACATACATGTTTTAAAAAGTTATCTGAAAAAAAAATTTTTTTTTAATTCAGGGATTTGAAACAACTTAGATGACTATGTCCTTGGGGGAAGTGATATCAGTTATCTGTGAGAAGTGGGACAGGCTACTAGAGACTCCAGTCCACACCCTCTCGGTACCAAGGACGGGCTCTGTGCTAGAATTGGAGCAGGAGCTGCTCCATGCAAGTGAGCTACTTCCAAGGTTGGTGCCTCCGTCGCCACTTTCCAGATGGGGAAACTGAGGCAAGTAAGAGTCCAAAGGGGACTTGAGCAGTGCTCCTTCCTGTACATACTGATCCCTGACAGCTAACGACAGATCCAAGCCCTCGACCCTAGAAGGTATACTTTTAGATTTCTTGATGACAACTTTATCCATCACTTTAGCTAAATCTAAGAAGCACTACTACCAAATACAATTTAAAAAGATACATAGGAGTAGGAAAGAAGAGGATAACCAATTGAGCATTTGTCTTAAAACTGATTTTAAATTAAGTATGTAGATTAGATGGCATAAAGTATTAAATGGAATTGTGTGGTTATGTTAATACCTGCTCTGCCACGAGACTGGCAATTTCTTCATAAGTCTTTCCTGCTTCTGTTATTGCATCATTGAGATCTGTTTCACCTGAAAGTCATCACAGTTACCAGTGGTTGTAAGTTATGTCTTTCCATTCATTTTATTTAAACATTTTATGACAGAAAATTTCAGACATTTTAAAACTGGAATGAATCCCTGTTTACCCATCACCTAGCTTCCCAATGAACAGTTCATGGGCAATATTTTTTCACCTATCCCATCCATTCCCACCTCCCCTTTCACTGGCCACATAACATTTCATCCATAAATGTTACTTAGAAGATAAAGACTCTTTAAAAAATAAGGACAATAGCGTATTACAGTGAGGACAATTGTCCCTGAGATGAACTATCAGTCAGTGCGCAGCTTTCTGGCAAAGAAGCTGCAAGAAAATACACTGAACAACCCTCCACTCTTCTCGAAAGTCGCAAGGTGCGGTTGCACAAGTCCTGAGTGGGGCACCAGCCAATGTGAGTCGGTGCCAAGGTGCTACTGCAGCGCTCCTGTTGGTCTGCAGGAGCCTGAAGCGGCGGCAGTCTGGATAAGACACCAACGCTCAGAGGTAAGTAAGTAAAGCCCTACCTTGGTAAGCACTGGAACTGAACACTGTTGCTAAGCTCTGCAGGGCCTTGCCTATCTTCTGATATTCCTTGGGTAGTGCTGAAAGAGAAAAAGAAATACATCGTCAACCAGTCCTCCCTGCAAACTGAAGTGGGACTCAACTATTTTCTAAAAGTGATTACTTTTATAATAGTAGAAATTTGAAGTGATTCAAAAGAATCTATATGCTATAATAAAATGATTGGTTTTTAATATTTTTTTCCATCAAATTCTTTCAATTTATAATTAATCACTTAATGACTGGTGCATGCTATTATTAACAACCAGCACCACTGCCCATTCTCATTCACTGAATGACATCTGAGTGGACAGGCGGCTGTTAGAGGATGATTCCAGTGTGCACAGTGCTATCTATCACACAGGCCACCCGTTCCATCACAGCGACCCCTCCCTCTACCAGATGCAGACACCCCTCCACTTCATGGGGCAGGAAGATAAGGGTCAGATAAGGAAACTGACGTGCTCAGGGTCACATGGCTAACAAAACTGTGGATGTGGCACTTCTGATTCCAATTACATGGCTTTCCCCACTCTGCTATGTATATATGAATAATTATTTGCAAAACAAAACTCAAAGCAACAAGGTGTGGAGAAAAAGGCAGTGGGACTTCCCAGGACCAGGCAGGAGGAATTTGTTTTCTCTTCCATTGATATAAACTGTGTGGATGGTAGAGGCCCACTCGGTGGCTGGACAGCGAGTCCTCTAGGCGTGTGGGGCCACAGGATTTGTTTTCTCTTCCGTTGATATAAACTGTGTGGATGGTAGAGGCCCACTCGCGTAAGGAAATGGGGGCGGCCTGTTCCTGCAGCACTTTATCACAAAAGATGGGGCGGCCAGATGGGCCTGAGGTTGCGCTTGCCCATCCCTGATGTAAGGCTTCACTTTCCTTTCAAGTCTGGGTCACAGACCTCAGAACTGCTACTCACTTGCTTTATTTTAATATTTCACCCTCAAGTCACTCCACATTCAGTTTCTTGTTCATTAAACTTGTTATTGGACTTCAAATAGATGCTTTTCCATTATTTAGAAGAAAAATTCCACCTTTAAAAAAATCTTCCAATAACAGATAATTTAACCTCTTTCCTATGCTGAGTACCAAGGTATTGATATAACGTTAAAGTGGGTATGTATTACTTTTAGACTTCAAAGCCAAGCCATTTTTACTTTTTAAAAATAACTGGGGATGACCAGGATTCTTGTAGGTTTCAGTGACAGACTAGCAGGACCTTGTTCTCACGAAGTTAACACAGGTGAGCCCTAACTGCAGCTCTGGGACTCAGAAGGCTGTGCTGGCAATAGGGCAGAATGGATGTAAGGGGAGAAGACTCCTCATCCTCTGAGGCGGTCGGACCACCTGTGTGGACACTACACTGCTGTGGGTGCGGCCTCTGAGCCTGAGGGAGGAAGGGCGGAGGCTGTGGCTGGACCCACAGTGGACTCCGGTGTCTAGGCCGGGCTGTCTTATACCAGAGCTCATGGTTCTGGGAACACAGCAAACGTGGCTCAGCAGGGTGACAGTCTGCACACAGGGAAGTGAGGGGACAGGACGTCCTGGAGGACATGGACACAGCAGCAGGAAGCACACCCCATGCCACGGGCCTCAGCAGTGCTCCTAGTCTGACCGTCTTGTATTTTCTACCAGTCACATTGGTTTTTCCTAAAAATTAGGGTGTTAGTCAAATCAACACCTTGCCAACGGAGGAAGATTGAAAACTAAACTAATGAGCTACAAGCATTCTCTAAACATGCAGAAAGGATACATTTTTCATAGATTACAAAACCCCAGGAACTGGAAATATTTAAGCAAACGTGGTGTTTTTTAAGAGTTCTTGAACTGGCTTTGTTAGAGCCAACTGTCTGCTGTTGACTTGGGTTGAGAAGTGAGGTTCACCGAAGAGCTCCTTCTGCCTAAAGGGTGAGGCCCCAGGGTGACCAAGGCCGCAGAGCGAGCACGCACTGCCCCTGCACTGGCCCTGCGAGCGCGGCAGTGCCGGAGGCGCACTCACGTCCGGTGCATCGCTTCCAGTGCTCCTGCCCCACGGTCAGCAGCTCCTTCACGCCGTCGTCCATGGCCTTGGTGAATTTACCAACAGCGTCGCACTTCTGTTCTCTGTGGGGCGAAAACACAAGAAGGTGCTTCCTGGGCTCAGCCACCGGACGTCCCGGGGCAGGTGCAGGAGGAGACATCACGGTGGTCAGAGTCACACCGGACGTCACCACAGGCACCGTGTCCGGCATCAGAACCACCACCCTTTAGGCACATCAGTCTTACAAACAGGCTTGATTCAGGCTTTTAGAGAACTGCTTTGAATGTGCCATTTCTATTTTACTCTGCTTCCTTCTCCCCTCAATTCCTTGTGAATGTCAGTAAAACTATTCTGAAGTGAATAAAATCCTCATTTCTTGAATATCTTATTTAGGAAAATTCAATCATGGGCAGTACCGTGGAACCTACAGAATAACAGGGGCTGCTAATGGCAGGTGTTCATTCTTCCAACAGTGAGTCACAGAAAACCACCTGCACGTACGACCACCCGCGCAGCGACCTGCACCAGGTGAGCCGTGAGAATGTTTAAAACATGCGGCCCCTGACGGCTTCGTCAGGGCACTGACCACTTTGCCGTAGATTGCCAGATTAAAAAATGACAACAGCCAACACAACAATAGCCACTTGGTGTGAATGAATCAAAATTATAGCTATTTTTTATTTTTGTCAGCTTGACAAAAAATGTAACATGTTTTTTGGTGTGCCTCAGGTTTTAGTGATTAGTTTATGTGCATGAGATGAAAAAGATGGAAAACCACTGCTCTAAGGTGATACTGAACATATCAGTTCTTTAGGATGTAGAAAGTATTTACCAACCCGAAAAAATCATCACAAGGTAATTTTTTTAAAAAATTATGGAACGCTTCACGAATCTGCGTGACATCCTTGCGCAGGGGCCACGCTAATCCCTGTATCGTTCCAGTTTAGTGCATGTGCTGCCGGAGCAAGCACACAAGATACTCTTACATTTAAAAAAGATGATAAAAGGGAATGCATGCTGTGAGGTCATTTTTGTTTAAACAATTTTTCCTTTAGATACATATGTACCAAGGAGGGTTTAGGAAACTATAGATCCTAAACATGTTTAGGCCAACATATTAACACTGATTTTCTCTCTGGGTAGTTGGAAGATTGTGTGTGGTGTGTGTGTGTTTTTTTTTCCCCTTGTCTATGTTTTTGGTAACACATATGCAATGATTTTATAAAAGGTTTCTTAAAATAAAAATAAATCAAGACTATTTATTAGTTCTTATATAGAAAAGGAACTACTGCAAATTCTCAACCAAGCCCACATTAAAGAAAAGATGACATGATAAAGCACAGATAAAGCAGGCCAGAGAGTACTTCCTTCGAGGCAAGGCTCAGAGAAACTTGGCTCTGTGGCCTGTGCGGGGTGTGAGCCGGCTGTGCCACTCTGCCTCCTCGTGCTTCACTCGGAGTAACTACCAACCACTGTGTGCGCTGAGGTCACTGACTGCAGGGGAGAAAGGAGCAGACCTCCATGTGTTCTGCTGGGAGATGTGCTTTCCCTGACTACAAGCCCCACTCATTTCCAACACTCGAGTCTGACCGCGTCCCGCTTGGGGCTGTCCTGCCAGACCCGTGAGCAAAGGAGGCGGACACAGTTGAGAAGAAGGCAAATCTGGCAGTGTCTCTCACATTTCTATTAGGTCCAAGTCAGGGGCCTCTGGTTCCATGGTGGAAAATATCATAACTCCCACCAGTTCATCTTTCTCGGCCTTCCTCTTCCCAGTTTTCCATTCCTGTAAATGGGAGGGTCATGAGTTAAACTGGTCTTTCAAAATCCCCTGGTAGAATCGGCTCACTGATCATCTCTACCTTTCTAATTCTCAGGAAGCAGCTCCCCGCCATCTCCCTCTGCACCGTGGGCCACGGCATGCACATCTCAAACGTCATCTCATGTGGACAGTGCCCTCCCCAGCATGGTCTCTGAGCGCCCAAGCCCTTCCTGAGTGAGGTGACTCAGCCACTGTTCCTTTCCCAACCGCTACCAATCCAAACACAGGGAGTAGAAACACAACCTATGAATTCTGACAAAGTGCCTTAAATTTTTAGGCTGTTTAGTTCTAAAAAAGGTTAACGCTTTTCTAAAATATAAGATAGGAACCAGTATTATGGGCTAGTTTTAAAAACATATTATTGCAAGATATATATAACATATATACACATACATACAGAAAAATACCCCATGCATGTAATTCTCACAAAGTAAATTCCTGTGTATCTACCACCAAGAGCAAGAACGGGGGAAGAGCTAGCATCAGAAGCCTCCTCATGTCCCTTCCCCACCCATCGCCACCCTTTTCTTCCCCACAAGTTAACCATTTCCCTCTCTTTTGTGGTTATCATTTCATCACTTTTCTTTCGAGTTTTGCCACCTAGGCATGAATCCCTAAACTATAGTTTTCCTATTTTTTTTTTAACTAGCAAAGAACTCTACATTTTTTGTGTATCTGGCTTCTTCGGCTCAACCTGTGTATAAGAGCTGCATTCACACTGTTGTTATAGCTATACAATATTCCCTTATATGAACACTCCATTTATTTATCCATCCTATGACTGGTAGTCACCCTTGGCCCCTGCCAACTTATGAATGAAGTTACTGTGTGTGTGTGTGTGTGTGTGTACACATATATATACATGTATATATTCACACACACACACACGAATTTCTGTGAGGTATAGGAGTGGAAAATTGTTCCACTTTAGATAATATGAAACTGTTTACCAATCCTCACACCCACCAGCAGTGTGTGAGCCCAGTAGCTGCTCATCTCACTTTTCAGACTTTCTAACTTTAGCCTTTCTGGTGAGTATGTAGTGGTATTCACTGTGGTTTAATTTGCATTTCCTTGATTACTAATGAGATTAAGTACTGTTCTAAACATTTGTTTAAGATTCAGATACTTTCTTTTGGGAAGTCTTTAATCAAATCTACAATTTTTCTGCTGGGTTAATTACCTTATCTTTTTGTTTGGGTTTTCATATAGTCTAAAATCCAGCCCTTGGTTGGTCATATTTGTTCATATCTTAGTTTGTTTTTCACTTTTAATGGCTTCTGATGATAAACAGAAGTTTTTAGTTTTAATGTAATCTAAATTTCTAAAAAATCCAAATTTCTTCCGGTATGGTTAGCTGTTTTTGTCTTTTTTCAGAAATCCTCCCTTCTCTGGGGGGATGAAGCTATTCTCCCATGTCATCTTCTAGAAGCTTTATTGGTTGCCTTTCACATTTAGACCTCAGAATGATCTGGAATTGATTTAAAACTTTATACAATGGAAACTTCCAAACACATACAAAGGTAGAGAGAAAGAACAATAAGCCCCTACAAGACTCAGCCCTCAACAATCATTAAAAATTTACCAATTTTGTTTTATCTAGTCTACTCTACCTGTTTTCTTGCTTACTTAAATGGAAATCTCAGATATAAGGCCATATTTTAAAAACATAACCACCATGCTGTCAACCCTAACAAGATCAACAGTACATTATTATGAGGTGGGAACCATGTTTCATTTTCCCCAGTGGTGCCATCTAAGGCAGTGTTTGCCAACCTTTCGGACCGCACGGACCACCGGTGGTCTGCGGACCAGCGGTTGGTGACCGCTGATCTAATGGACTCAGCACCATTTATTAAAAGTACTGTCCTTCCCCCACTGAATCAGCATCTTCTGGGTCATATTAAGTGTCCATTCTGTTCTGCTGGTCTGTCGTCTTCCTTTATGCCACTTCCTTGCTTCTGAAATTCTTTTCACTTTACAGTGAGTCTTGATATCCAATAAAGTCCTCCTCCCACTTCATTCTTTTTCAAGAATATCTTGGCTATTCTTAGTGCTTTGATTTTCTACATATGACATCTTTCCTGTTCTTCAATCCATGAAAGATAATGTTGGAAAATTTATTTAAGTCTTTTTCTTTTTCTCAACAGTGTTCCATAATTTATGCTGACCTTTTGTAAATTCCTTGTATTTACTCCTAGAAATTAGATACTTTTCATGCTGTTGAAATGATAGTTTTTTACTTTCATTTTGTTTATTGCCAATACTATATACAAATATGCAATGTCTTACTTATATCCAGCTACCTTACTACTTATTTCTAGTAATTTTTTTGTAGATTCATTGGAATTTTCTGTATCCATCCATCTACATGAGTTATTGACTACAAAAATCAGTTTTTAGTGATTGTCTCTCCCTTCCTTTCTAATATCAATTTTTTAAAAATTGACCTGACCATAAAAAAAAAAATAAAAATCATTCCCTCTGTTTCCCTCACTTCATGCTGGTCCTATCCTGCATAGTGTGGGGTCTTATTTTCAGCATTTAGGAACCACTCCTCACCCTCGCCGCCCTTTGCCCCATCTGCTCCGGGCCAATCTGTTCTCCACAGATGGAAAATCATCCTGGCAGTTCTTTCAGACTTGGTGACTAATTTCCTATCGCTTGAATTTAGGTTTCTATCCCTATTGTCTTTGTAGAGAAAATCAGAAATAACCATCCAACTGACATAATTTTAACTCCTTTCAGACATAAAATTGACGTGAATGTGACAATTATCAAATACCTTTTCATCCCGGAAATTTAGAAACTGCTGGAAAACCTCGCTTTCTGAAATTACCGGATGCCGACACATCCTGGTCATCCATGCCTGAAGTCTCTCCATGCGCATTTTGATAAATTCTTCTTCAAAGCGACCTGCAAGGAATGCGCCGAAACGATGTACCACTTTGTCGAAAAGCAGTTTATTCAGCTAATGGCTACTTGGTGGAAAGTTACTGGTAAAAGGGAAACCATGGTGAGTTCTCACCAACCTAAAAACGGGCAACAGCCCGTGCACATACCTCAGATGCAGGCTTGATCCCTGGCCCTGGTTGGGGCTTATGTGGGAGGCAACCGACTGATGTGTCTTTTTCACGTCAATGTTTCTCTCTCTTTCCTTCCCTTTCACTTGTTCTAAAAATCAGTGGAAAAATATCTTCAGGTGAGGATTTACAAAAAATAATATAAAGAAAAATAAAAACAAGTAACATACTGAATGCCCAAAGACCCACAGGAATGATGCAATAGACTTTTTAGTTTATAAGAATGAAATTACAATGTAACAAGTCAACAAACCTTTTAATTGTGATAAGAATATTATAACTTCAAAGTGCTATTTTCCTCAAGGTTCCCGAAAGTATTTTAAAAATTTAAAGTAAATCTTATTTCAATATGAAAAACCTCTTTCTTATAAAATAATGTGGCCATATTAAGTCCTATTGACAAGAAAGAGGTAATATTATTGAATTTAATAAGTAATTCTCATAAAAGTATATGAAATTTCTCTATTTATAAAAATGTGACCAAATGCAGTATAATCTTAGATATACAAATTTAAGTTTAGTACTTATGCAAAGTAACTCAGGACTGTAGCTCTCCCCCCCCATATTATTTTTTAAGTTATTTAAACTGAAAATAGAAAAAGCAATTTTTCCATGAATAATGAAAGCTGCCATTTTTACAAGCCTACCAAACAAAACCACTATCAGTTAAAAGGCTTCCGGCAATGGAAATTCCAGCTACAGTCAAGCAAGGCCATCAGCTAACCCAGTCCCCCCAAATAACTATAAACCCAGACAAGCAAAACAATCAGCGCTCTGGAAATCCACCGAAGGCCAACAGCCATGTGAGAAATGTCTGTTTGCAAAACTGCCATACTTCAGGCAAAAACAGTAGAAATCTGTGGTGTCTGGCTTGTGGCTGCTCCTGTCTCCCCTGCTGCCCCCACCCTCCATCTCTGCTTGGCCGACATGGGGCGTCTGCCAGGATGGAGCAGGGTCTGGGGGGTGGGAGATGCCCATGCTCAGTGGTGGGGCAGTGACAATCCAGAGGCTGAACAGGGAGGTCAAGCGCTCCACTAGCCAAGGTTACGAGGTTGAGCCAAGACTTTCC